GTGTTCCAGATTGCTTATGTGATTGTGAAAGCAGCTAACTCCCCTCGGCCTGGGAACTGGATTTTGGAACGCTCACTTGATGACATCGAATACAAGCCCTGGCAGTACCACGCTGTGACGGACACAGAGTGCCTGACCCTCTACAATATTTATCCCCGCACTGGACCTCCATCCTATGCCAAAGACGACGAGGTCATCTGCACTTCATTTTATTCCAAAATACACCCTTTAGAAAATGGAGAGGTAAGATGAGAATACTCACCATTGAAGTACACTTTATATGGCAAAATAAGCCTGTCAGAAAGACTTGAATATATCAGTAATTAATGTCAGAGAGATTTTAAATGGGATTTAGCAGAAGTACATTTAAATGAGTTATTAAAAAAAAAAAAACCAAGGTGATTAGAATGTTAACTACCTTCATGTGTCTCCTATCTCCAATAAAGATCAGAGAATAGGAAATGGGTTTAAGCTGGAAAGTCAGTGATTAATTTTATATAAAAAGACTTTCCTGACGGTGAGGATTGATAATGATTAGAGAAAGGCTGGAGACCTTAAAGAAAGCCTTACATTTGTGTATGCTCTGGTCTGAAGATGGAGACAAAAGAGGGGAATTTGTGAAGAAATGGAATCTACATGAAGGGCCCAAATAAAAAAAAATCCTGAGTTGTGGATGTGTTTCTGCTATCACCACAGAGTGCTACAGTGGGGTTTCTTTGCTCTGGTTGGGCCATTCTGAATATTAATGTGCAGGATTCTGAGGTTCTCAATTATGTGCAAGTAGGCTATATGCTTAAATCAAAAGTGTTCTGCTACCCCGTAGTGTTTTTCATCCTGCAGCTAAAATTTTACGTTTATTCATTAATTTTAAGCTACAGATTCAAGCCATGACTTCCGTGTTATTAGTTTTGTGTTCTTCCTCCAGTTGTTTTAAGTTATCTGTGCCTCAGTTTCATCTTCCATAAATTGGGAACATAAATAATCACTTTTATCATATAATTCCCATTATGATTAAATGGATGATTATATAGAACAATGCTGACATGTACACCAAGTGCTATAAGCATGAACTATTTAGTGCTATAAGCATTTAATATTTTTGTCATTGCTGCTGCTATTTCAGTAATAATGATAGCAATAGCTACCATATTTATTATTATTCTCTTCTCAAATACTCAAACCTGGATTTACTAATTCTTGAATTCTCTAGTGCCCCTTTATTATATTTTCCTGACCTGACTCCCTTTAATATGTATGATTAACCTCCTTTCATCCTACTTGCTTGACAGCTCCTCAACTAACCATCCTGATAACCTCTAAGTTGGAAATATCTAAGTAAAAATGTACCTTATACATCTGACATCTGAATACCATGGCTTAGCTCACCTACCCTAAACATGCTCAGAACATTAGCCAACCATTGGGCAAATTGACCTAACACGAGGCCTATTTTATAATTATATGTTGAGTGATCTCATGCAATTCACTGACTACTCTACTGAAACTGAAGAACAGAGAGGTTATTTGGGTACAGGAGACACTGATGAACATTTTGTAGACATATGAGATGTGAAGACAAAATGTCCAAAAGTGTTGACAACATGGCAGATTGTAGAAAATGGATTGTTCTTGCCTATGATCCTGCGGCTCACTGAGAGCTGTAGCTCCTGATGCTGCCCAGCATCACAAGACAGGGTGGAACCCCATATCACTAGCCTGGGAAAAGATCCAAATTCAAAATTCAAATTACATTTCTACTAAATTTATATCATTCATTTAGTAAAAATATCCTAAGTGAAAAATCCTAAGTCAGGGACTGTCTGTACTTGTGTCTGATATTCTTTCCTCCTAAGACATCAGAAGGTAATGTCATCTGTTACATTCCCACATTCAGAAAAACTACACTCATATTCTATCATGGCTACTCAGACCAATCCATGCTATCCCTGAACACTTCTGGGGGACAGTTAGGTGTCTGACATAAATCTGTCAGACTCCTTTTAGGCAATATTATTCTATGAGTTTAAACTTTATTTCAAATTCCATGTTCAAAAATACCAGTTTTGGGGAAAAAAAAAAAACATTCCAAATGGTGCTCTCAACAGAGATCTCATCTACCAAATGTAGATGAGTCAAATGTAGTGAGCCAAACATCTGTTCAACCTGCTGTATGCCCAGAGGCAGCCAAGACATGGCCAGTTTGGCTTCTGGATATGGAAGGGGGAGTAGAGAGAAGACATGTGTGGGAGCTGAATTTTTATTATTTCTTCTCCTCGATCCAGGTTTTACTCAGGTCTAATGATTATCTAATATTTTAAGATTTTTTACTCTTTTAAAAAATGACCCAATTCAGAAATTGGTTGAGCAAGATAAAAACTATAAAGCAGAGCGCCTCACCCTGCTCTCCCTATATTAATGGTGGTCCTCCATCCTTTAGACCACGTCAACCTACCAATGTGGAACAAACCTACATGTCTGTTTAGTTATTTATTTCTCTAATTGACAATATCATTTCTACTCTTAGAATAACATTCACTAAAAAATGCTCAGTGATGGTGACTATTAAGAAGTTAAAGTTAGGAACAGAAAACAATTCAGCATATTTGAAGTAGAATGATAGGTTTTAAGAGCATGAATTAAATTCGGAATTATCCTAGACTTTCTACTCATTTTGAAGAATTTATTTCATGGAATGTTTCTTTTTAGAATAAACAGCCTCAGAGAAGGCAGGTGATATTAGCCAGGACACACAGCTCCTGTGATAGTAGAGCTGAAATAAGAATACAGGTCTCCTGCTAGAGAGGAAAAAGGAAAAGAAGGATGGGGGCTGGATCACATAAAGCAGAGGGAGAGTAGAGTAGAGGAAGGGGACCAGGGAAGTGATATTGGCCAAATTATATTGTTATACTATGTATGTGCACTAATATATAACAACAAATCTCCCCATTATGTACAACTCTAATGGACCAATATAATATGTAGAAGGGAAAAACAATAAAGAATCCAGGTCCCCTACTCCCTGGTAAATGTTTCTTTCATACTCTAGCAAAGACTAGAAGTTGGTTTTAAAAATCTGTTGATAGTTCTTAAACTCAGAAATAATTTAGAGGAGTTGTACATACTGTTGCTGAAACCAGTGTGCTTTTGAAGAGTTATAATTCTGAGATAACTTGGTATAGGAAAACATACATGGGAGTAAAAGTTTAAACTTTATTTCAAATTCCATGTTCAAAAATACCATTTTTAGTTCTTTCTGGGACCTCAAGTCAGTTAATCATCAGTGAATTTATTTTTGTTTGGTATGGGGGATTGAACTCTGGGACACTTAATCGCTGAACCACATCCCCAGCCCATTTTTGCATTTTATTTAGAGACAGGGTCTCTCTGAGTTGCTTGGGGCTTTGCTAAATTAGCGAGGCTAGCTTTGAACTCATGATCCTCCAGCCTCAGCCTTCCAAGCTGCCGGGATTACAGGCCTGCACCACTGTGCCTGGCAGTTCTAAGGCATCTTTGTGTTCTAAAGCAACATTGTTTTGGGTAACATATTACATTTGAAGATATAAACTTTTTTGGATGCTTGTCTACAATATTTCCTAGACAAATGACTGTAAAATTAATCTTAGTCTCACTCATTAACTTTTGGTTTAAAAATGATATTGTTTTAGATAGCACCTGAAATACAATTATTAAGTGTTTATGTTCAAAACTTCCCAAAGAAGTGACAATAAAATTAAAGAAACAAATGTAGAGACTAGGAAATAAAACATGAAAGTACAACTACTATAACAGAAACGTGTAGAGGGGCAAATCCACCCCACCCCCCAAAAAAAGAAGTCACAATGAGAAGGTAAACTCAAAATACAGAGAAATCAGCAACAACTCTAAGTATCTCAAATTTCAAGGCCAATATGCAAATTCATCTTCAATAATGTGTATAACATGAAGTAAACAATAGAATTCACCTCCATTGTTGAAAAATATTTTATTAAGCATAAATTTTAGGTTTGTAGTTATTTTATTTTGGTACATTTGGATATTTTCTGATTTCCATTTTACTCTTTTTATTTTGGTACATTTGGTTATTTTCTGATTTCCATTGTTTATGTAGAGAACCTTTTGTTTACCCTTTTGTCTTCTTCTATCTTTGATCTAGGTATTTCTTCTGGTATACTTCTAGTTCATAAATTCTCCCTCAGTTATGTGAAATATATTAAAATGATTCATAGAATTCTAATTTTATTTATCATATTTTTAGTTTCTAGAATTTCTGAGTTACTTAAAATAGAAGCTTGTAATTTCTAGTTTTACATTGAAATTCTATATTTATATTAAATTTTTAATTCTATTATATATAACATTCAAATTTTCAATATTCTATTTTTATCTACTTGAACGCAAGTTTAACAACTGTTAAGCATTTCAGTTTGGTAATACCATTCCTTTATGTGTATATTTTGTTGTCTGTTTCATCTACTGATTTTCTTTTAAACTGTATTATCTCTTTTTATCCTGACCACTTTGTGTAAGAGAAATTGTAATTTGATAAGCTATATAAATATATGTAGAAAAAATCTAGGGAGGAAGATATTTTCTTCACCTTGTGAGGTTATCCTGATCCTTCTGCTATCCCATGGCAATCTGGATCCTCTTAAAACAATTTAGAGATTCAAGTATCTGAGACACTCAGATGACTCAAAGCTGTGCTATAACCCAGGGACAGCTGCTTTAATTCCAGTTATCCTCATTCCTGGAATGCCTGTCTTTGGCGTCTAAGCCAACATGTGGGGGATTTACCAATCATCCTCCTACTAGTCCCAGAATCTAACTTTCGTCCTCTTAATACAGCAGGGCTGTCAGAAACATGGCTTAGTATCTCAGCCATGTTTTTTGGACAAGAAAATGCCCACAAGACCAAAGTTGTCACAATAAGCCAATCACCTATTGAAACATTTTTCTTCTCCTCAATATTAAGGTTACTCTTCATCCTCTAAAGAGCTCTTAGGTGGCTTTTAACAAATGTCTTTGTATATTTTATCCAGTTTGTCATCATTGAGAATCTAGCCCTAGAATATAACCTGCTATAAACAAAAGCAAAGTCACATATGCATTTAAAAAATGAACTTTTTATTTTGGAATTATGATGAATTGATATAAATATAAGAAGAATAAATCCTCATATCTATTCATCCCACTGCCCTAAGGATAATATCTTACATGATGCATATTTCAAAATGATGTCAACA